TATCTCTTAACCATTAAAATATTGTGTTATTCTTACATTTACATTTTTCTAAGGTCCATATTTGTGTGACCATTTTTTTAAATACTCTTTTTGCTGCTGAAAACACCAGAATTTCCTCATTGTGGGACAATGAAGGGATTTTCTGTTCTAGTCTATAAAAGGGATAGAAAGATATAAAAAAATCAAAGCAATGTGTTTCTAAAAAAATATACAGTATCTGCATAATCTCTCATATTCAACAACAAAAAATACTTAGTAAAGCAAATTGTGCAAAATAGCAATAAAAAAAAAAAAAATCCTATCAGAGTTATAGTCCCCAGTCTGCAGATATATTAGAATCTGTCCTTAAATTACAGCCAAACCCATTTACACAGTAACAGATAAAAACTTTAGATAAATTAGTCATTAATGCCACATATCTGCGACATAATAACCATTAAAACAACTATTCTCATTCATTTTAGACGGAACTATTCACAGACTGGATTATATTAAACTGAACTTCCAATATTCACCACTGATCGGCGCCATTTCCCTTTTTCACCTGATCACGGAGCAGCCAGTTTGGTTCGATTTGCAATGAATCCTGGGATAACTGAGGCTAGATAGGATACACTGGACCGTCCTTCAATCGGGCAAAAAGGACGCATTTGTAGGCCGAATAACGAGGAATCTTCCGATCCGACCAGACCTCGGCGCCGCGCTATGTAGTAATCGGCCTTCGAATCTATCCTTCAAAGCAGCCCGTGAATTTGAACACCCCCCCCATTTCCCACTCAAGCAGCACCAAAAAGTGGTGGGAATGGAGGACGGGACGTAACTTCCGCATACGTGTTGCACACATTCTCTCAGCAAAGAAACAGCTTAATAAAAAAGTATTTCACACATGCTTTACAAACCATCGTTTTCACTTCCCTGAGAGCTAGATAGGGGGCCAATCATTGGCCACCCCTACCATTTTTTGCCTCCAATACAGATGGTGGCAGCAGTAATACTCTGAAGTGGAATATCAAAACATTTAAATTTTTTGTGGTTAATTATTGACATCAACATTAAAGACGATAAGTATAGAATTTGTGCTCTTTTCAGAACTAGATTTTGTGTTATATGAGGTAAAGAGGAGTCTAGGAGTCTTCAGTGAAATAGATAAATAACCGTTTTAATAAAAACTTATCAAATATTCAGTTTATGTAGATATAGAACTTATAAATATCAGTTTTATGCAGAATGATTATTGATCAAAGTAGGTAAGTAATGACCATGGAAAAGATGTTAACCCCAGACCTTCCCTTGATGTTTAAATATATGCGTAAGATTGTTAGCAAAGGCTGTAGTAAAGTATAGTTTGTCTTATTTTGACAATATTGATGTTTTTCTCGTTAATTTTGCTGTTGGAACAGCATATATTGACCCTGAGGTTCTGGCGCCTGTCCGCTTTGGGCCGCCCCTCAGTGTTCATTGGTTATTGCCTGGGAACCCCTATAAAAATGTTCTGGCTACGCCTCTGCTGTTGACCCATAAAGCCAGATCCTTAACCTAACATCCAAATCATTCCTTACAGATGATCACTGCCCAGAAACATCTGATTGAGAACGCAGATGTTGTTCAGGAGAGGATCGACCA